AAGCTTAAATGTAACGCTTTATATTGCGATGTGAGGCTAATGATTTATGTTGATTGCATTATCGGCTGCTGCTCCGAACATACTCCCCGCGTTGAAAGGTCAGGGCTTTCAACAGTATCGTTTACTGGAAGGACGCACAGCTTGTTCACTGCTCGACGGGTTGTTCCACTAGACGTGCGTAAAACTGCCACTCGTACTACACCATCAGCTCCAGGGATAACCTCGATTACACGGGCCAGGGGCCACTTCAGAGGCGGTGAGTTTTCGTCCTTGACGCATACGATATCGTTCACTTGAATGCTGGCCTGAGGTGTGCGCCACTTCGCTCGTTGCTGGAGGAGAGTGAGATATTCTCGACTCCACCGATTCCAGAAAATTTGGTGCACGTGAGTTGCGCGCTGCCATCGGTCAAGTCGATTACAATTTAAATGTCTCAGGTCAGGTTCAGGTAGAGCTATTAGTGGACCACCAATCAGGAAATGCCCTGGCGTCAATACGTCTAAATCCTCTGGATTTTCTGAAAGTGGTACAAGAGGACGAGAATTAATAACAGCAGCGATTTGACATACCAGAGTGCGCAATTCGTCAAAGCCAAGAAGTGAAGAGCCAACCGAACGATAAAAGTGCTGCTTAGCTGTTTTTACGGCTGCTTCCCACAAGCCGCCGAAGTGCGGCGAGCGGGGCGGGATGAATCGCCAATCAAACCCATTGTTGAGACAGTGGTTATGGACCTCGCTGCGATGCTCCTCGCTTAAAAATAGGCGTCGCAAATCACTTAACTCGTTTCTTGCGCCTACGAAGTTTGTTGCATTATCTGACCAAATGCAGCTGGGTACGCCACGAGTAGCAACAAATCTCTTTAGAGCGTCGATAAAGGCGCTGGTCGATAAGTCTTTCACTAACTCCATCCAGACGGCTTTTGTTGCGAAGCAGATAAAAACGCTAACGTAACATTTTTGAGGGGACTTGTTACGCATTTCTGGCTAATAATAGAACGGCCCACAATAGTCTACACCAGTGACAATAAAGGCGCGTGAGGCCGCAATGCGATCCTTAGGCAAGTCAGCCATGATGTGCTCGACGAGTCGCGGTCTCGATTTACAACATATAATGCATTTACCGAGGGCGTGGGCGACAGTTTTTCTGCCACCTATGGGCCAGTATTGCAAGCGAATGGCTGCAAGTAGTGACTGCGGCCCTACATGATGATGCTTGTGATGAAAAGGTGCAATTATGGAGAACGTCAGCGGATGATTCTTTGGTAGAATACACGGGTGACGCGCTTCAAAGCCAAGAGTTGAATGCCTCAGGCGACCGCCAACTCGAATCAGACCGATGTCATCTAAAAATGGTGATAATGAAGAGATGCTGCTAGATGATGAGACACACCTCTTATTTTTCAGAGCGACGTAATCTGACCAAAGCTGCGCTCTCTGAACGATGCGAATTAACAACTGAACCCCATAATGAATGTCCCGAGACGTGAGCTGCGACGTCCTTGGCAATTTTTTTATATTGATAAATTTGCTTACGTAACCAAAAATACGCTGCATTTTGCCAAACGAGTTGATGTACTTAAATGAAAGAGATACGTCGGGTCGATCATTTGATGTGAGTAATACCTTTTGACGAGTTTCCAAAAGCTTCGTTTGTGGTTCGCGAAATTTAGGCCAGCTGATTTCTGCTTTGTGCAAGAATATTGGACCGTGCATCCAAAGAGCTGATTGCAAGAGCTCTCTTGGTGCGGCCCCTTTGGATAGGATGTCTGCTGGGTTCATGGCTGTAGGAACATAGTGCCAAGTCATCCCCTGTGTAAGCTCCTGTATAGCACATATTCGATTAGCGACGAAAACGTTAAATTTTGAAGATTCTTCCTGCAGCCATGATAGAACGATCGACGAATCTGACCAACGATAGAAGCGGCAGTCAAAAACCTTCATCTTGGCTATCTCACCTACTAACTGCGCAAGCAGAGCGGCAGCGCTGAGTTCCAACTTGGCCACAGTCAGAGTTTTCAGTGGAGCAACGCGTGCCTTTGAACATAGCAACTGTAATTGGACGTTGTTATCCTTAGTTGAGCGAGCATATACACAAGCGCCATATGCTTCAAGGCTAGCGTCGCAAAACGCATGAATTTCAAGCGCGGCTCCAGGCTGTAATACATAGCGCGGAAATGACGAATGTTGAATGTTGACGAAATCTTCACAAAACGTAGACCAGGCCGTATCCAGTGAATGGGGCAAGCTTTCATCCCACGCGAGCTTATCCCTCCACATTCGCTGTAAAAGAATTTTCGCCCTTGTCAGAGTGGGGCCTAGTAGGCCAAGTGGATCGTAAAAACGAGCTATGGTAGCTAATACAGAGCGTTTGGAATTTCTGCCAGATCTGATCGGCGAAAACGAAAACAACAGATTGTCTTTGAACGGATCCCAGACTAGTCCCAGAGCCTTGGTGATATCACTGCCGTCATCGAATTTGAGAAAGCTTTCTCTTTCTGTTTGGGGAATATCGCCGAGAACATCAGGGCTGTTGGAGCACCATTTCCGTAATTGGAAATTACCTCGAGAAAGAAGACCTGTTGTTTGCTGCATAATGTTTCGCACTTCCCGCACTGAATTGCCACCAGATATCATATCATCCACATAGAAGTCTCGAAGAACGACCTTTGAACCCAGGGGATATGCTGATGATTCATCAAACGCGAGCTGATGCATGGCCCGAATAGCCAGAAATGATGCAAGCTTAGTTCCATAGGTCACCGTATTCAACTTGTACACGCGTAGGTCATCTTGTGGAGAGTCACGCCATAGTATACACTGGAGCATGTCGTCTGGTGCAGTGACTCGAACGCATCTATACATTTTGCAGATGTCTCCAGTAAGTGCGACGGGAAACGATCGAAATCTAATGAGGATGTTGAAAAGCTTCGGTTGTATTGTTGGACCTGACATGAGCAGATCGTTCAGCGACAAGCCCGAAGTTGTAGCTGCAGAGCCATCAAATACAACTCTCAGCTTTGTTGTAGTGCTGTCATCCTTGATGACACAGTGATGTGGAAGGAAAAACTTACAGTCATGAACATCCTTACTGGAGACTAGTGACATGTGGTTGAGATCCAAATATTCGTTAATGAATGCCACATATTGTTTCTTGAGCTGTGGATTGCGAGTCAGTTTTCGTTCAAGACTGCGAAAGCGATGTAGTGCCTGTAAATACGAATCACCTAGTGACTCCACGCTACTCTTCATCGGCAGACGCACGGAATACTCGCCTGAAGACAGACGCGAATAATTTTGCCTAAAGTGCTCTTCGCAGTCGAGCTCTTCCTTTGTTGTTTTAGCGATTGGCTCAATTACATGGTCGATTTCCCAAAAACGACGCACTAAATAATCTAGCCGAGTACTACAATCAATGTCAGTAGATGACCGTTGACGTACGACGAAAGATGAGAGTTTGGGCGTTTGTTGTCCACCACCGGACAGCACCCAACCAAACCGAGTTTTTTGAAGCAATGGCAGCCCAGGCGCCAACTGAATTTGGCCCACACAGAGAAGTTCGAAGAAGAGTCCTGCTCCTATAAGCAGATCAATACGCTGTGGTATGTTGAAGTTGGGATCAGCCAGCTGGATGTTGGAGGGAAGTCGCCAATTAACGGTGCTCACTGTAAGGCCAGGTTGACTTTCAGTGATCGTTTGTGTGACAACAGCAGTAATCGTCGTCGAGAAATCAGAAGTCCGCGACTTCAGTACGAGATCGACCGAGTATCCCTCCGTTGAAAAGTTGACGTCGCCAATGCCAGATACTCCAGCGAAGGTTTTGGTTTTCCGCAGCTGCAGCTGGTTTGTGAAACGAGAGGTGATAAAGTGCAGCTGTGAACCAGAGTCTAACAGCGCACGACAAGGTACGAAAGTGCCGGCACGATTTTTTACAAAAATTACCGCAGTGGCTAGAAGCACAACATCAGATGGAGAAGTAAGGGCCTGGGACGAGGCAGATAAGGCTGCAGTCATGGCATTAGGTTGGGCTGTAGCGGATTTCAAAGTTAAGCCTTGAGGGCTGGTGGCAGTTGGAGCAGAGCGCTCAAAGTGCAAAAGTGTATGGGGCTTTGATTGACAGTTACGACAAGACCCCGATTTGCAGTCGCGCATCTGATGACCTTTTTTTAGACAATTGAGACATAGAGCGAGTTGTTTAACCTCTTTTTGGCGGAGGTTTGGCGACAGATTTGTAAAACGAGGACAATGGTATATCAGATGCTCATGGGATCCACAAAATACGCAACCGCCCACTGAGCCACCAGAAGCAACAAATGATTTTCTTTGGTTGGTACTCACGTTTTTACCAGATTTACCAGCTTGACCAACTGGTGTTTGCATAACGTGTTCGACGTTTTCGAGC